GCTGGACCACAATTCTGTGTGGTTTAAGCAATTGTGATGTGGATTGTTCCACTGATGGGATCAGATGTATATGTTTTGAGCAGCCAATCCTTTGAAAGCAAGTTTCCCTAGGGGTGTGGCCTGCTTCCAGTATATTTTTGGATATCCTAGGAAAAGAGACACTCTTCTGTGGATTGGGATTCTGTTGTGTTGTCTGTGAGCGAACAATCCACCATTTGGTCTGGAAATCTTGGATTCGTCATTTGTTGGTGTCAACAGCCAGTATACTGCCTGCCAACCTTGAGCTCCTAAGCCCCTGCAGCTGTGTGAGTTGGGAAAAGCCTCCAGCTTGATGTTTGATCCAAGAATTTGGGACTTGCCGTCTTCTATAAGTGTGTGAGCCATTTTCCTAAGATAAATTTTTCTTTCTCTCTATATATAGGCTTTACTGGTTTTGTTTCTCTAGAGAACCCAGTCTAACACAGTTTTTCCACATTGATAGAAGCCAGAATACAGTGAAATGCAATTGCTTTGGGATTATTTCAGCCAGTGTTGCTTTTGGTCGATTGGTATTTGTTTTGGTTCTCTTGTGCCACTCTAACAGAAAATACCACAAGTGGGTGATTTTAACAAACAGGGATTTATTCTCTTACAGTGTAGGAGGCTAGAAGTCCAAGTTCAAAGTGCCAGCTCTAGGGAATGGGTGAAGGCCCCTCTCAACCTTGGCTCCAGCTTTGCCTCTTGCTCCCAGGCCACTGGCAATGGAGGTTTCTCTTAACTCAGGTAGCTGCTGCTGCTGAAGCTGACAAAACCAGGGTCAACAAATAAAATGGCACTGTCCCAAGATTATCAAGCAACATGGCAGGCCACTAGTTCTAGTCCAGAAACAGTCCCAAGATTGGCAGACAACATGGAGGCCACTCACTGATGAGTCTGCCAAATTCAGGATCCAAATGTGACAAGAAGCTCAGAGACCTTTTTCAAAGTGTCTTCTTATATACTGGAAGCAGACCACGTCCCTAAGGCAGCTACTCAGTTGCTCACAGTAGATTCCGCCATGGAGTTTATTACCAGTCTCATTATGGGGGATAACTACATCCCACCACCCAGCCACTCAACTGGGCCCAGCCAAGTTGACATGCACTCTTAAATACCACAGTATTCATGTCATATAGGTTAAATAGTTTTAACATCACTCTTACCCATAGGAAAAAGCTTTTTCACTTTTTCTCCTTTCCTTCCCATAAGGAGCTATTTAGCTTCTTATCAGAGTCTTTCCTTGTGGCTACCAGCTTATATGCATTTAAACTAAGCTACGGCCTACTCAGAGACAGCATTACCATGGCTCTAGCACTTACCTGATTCTTCTCTTGGAAACTTCTCTTGTCCATTGTTATCCATGGATGGCCACCTCTCTTACCTCAAAGTAAACCTAGCCTTTTTTACACTTCCAATAATCTGAATTTAGTCTTGGTATAGAGTCACAAACTCATTTTTTGGAGAAACTTCAGTTATTTTCCTTCTCTGAAGATGGATCTCCTCTAAAAGCAGATAGAATGTTCTGTATTCCTTTTCCCTATTGAATTCTAAGCCATAAGTCCTATATTAATTTTACCCTCTTACTTGTACAAGCAAAGTTAGAAATGTGAAAGATATTTCACACTGGTTTCCTGTTCTTATCAAATTACAGGAAGACAAAATCCTAGGCAAACACTGTTACCAAGTCTTAGATGCTATAATTGGCAAATCTGTGCTACAGGCTATCAAAGGTGATCACATTTAGTGACTAATTAATTATGAGTGGTTTTTCAAGGATCATCTACTGGATTAGTAATTGTTTCAGAATGGTTTCATCACCTTGGGAGGTTTGTTTTTCTGGGGAGGTTCACTACATTCCTGTAATTGAGACTAATCTATCATCTTTTTCATCATAGCACGTGACCTGTCTGGCTTCACCAAAAAACTCACATGTAATTCATTAATGGTGCTTCCTGGTTACAACTTTGCAATGTGTATTAGCAGATTATTTGATAACTACGAAGTGAGAAAACACTGTGCCAGGAAATTCCACGTTGTCTACCTGGACTGCAAAGCATGTGAGTATCTGGGCCTCTGCAAGTTTCTAGAAACAAACTGTTCCTTTACAGACTTTCATGTTTGTGCTCAGATGTTGGAAGATAAAAGGAATCTCTCCTTCCTCCACTGGGGACCACCAGGCTCACAGTTCTGAGTGTTTTTCAGTGCAACATTATTTTCACAGAGTAGGAGAAAAATACAGAGCCCTGGTGGTGCAGGGGTTTAAGCACTTGGCTGCTCACTAAAAGGTTGTTGGTTTAACCCACTAGTCACTCCAGGGAAAAGATGTGGCAATCTGGTTCCATAGAGATTACAGCCTTGGAAACCCTAGGGGACAGTTCTATTCTCTCAGAATATTTTCTCCCAGGCCCTGGCTTGTCTTTCTCTATGAGAATCAATATGACATCAGTGGGTCTGAATTTTTGTGGGTTTTTTTCGTCCTTTTTTTTTTTAATTAGGGGATAAATGAAGCCTCAAAATTAAATAAGAGTTACTGCTTGCAGTAAACTACTACATGCAGGTAACTTTGCATACATTATTTTGAATCCTCACAACACCTTCCCAAGTAAACTATTATAATCCTGATTTTATACATAAGGAAACTGAATGCTTATAATAAACTGAAGGTTAAATGAATCTCTTAGTGACACTGGGCTTGTAAGTGTCCCACAGATAGAGCCCTGTTGGAGATGAAATCACAGCCAGCTCCAACCAGGGTTTTACATTTAGAGTCTATTAAATGTTCTATATTTTAGACTGATTGCATACATGAGATTGATCCTAAAAATTTAGAAATAGTAAACATTCACTCTGTGTGTGTGTGTTTCTGTGTGTGTAATTCTTTGTAGAACCAAATAAGTTATGTGGACCCACAGAAAAAGAAATGTAATTGTATTTCATTGTATCAACACAGTAGAAATATAATTATTAGAGTCTGATAAATTGTATTTTCTTACAAACCAGGAATGACAAAAATTGCATCACATTTTTGTTTCCATCGTATTTGGAGCATAAATTTATCTGCACAACTGTATTGAGTTAATATTTCCATATCATAGAAGTCACCAGCTTTTCTTTCTTTTACTTTATTCATTGTTTATAGCAAATTTATTAAATTGTGTAATATTACCACAAGCCAGTGTTAGAATATTTCCATCATCTGAAAAAGATTTTTCATGCCTGTTAACAGTTAATCCCCATTAATACACCCAACCACAGACAACCACTATTATACCTATGCCTTTATTGACCTGATATTTCTGGTTATTTCCTATAAATAGAATCATGTGGTATGTGATCTTTTGTATCTGGCTTGTTTCATTTACAATAATATTTTTGAAATTCATCTGTGTTGTTGTATATCTCAATATGTAATGTTTTTGTCCTGCTGTATAGTGTTCTATTGTATGGATATACCATATTTTGTTTGTGTGTTCATCAGTTCATGGACATTTAGGTTGATTTTGCTTTTAGGCTATTATTAGTTATGCTGCTGTGAACATTTGTGTACAAATTTTTGCCTGGACATTTATTTTCATTTCTCTTTAGTGCTAGTAAGAGTGGAATTCCTGGGTTATATGATAATTCTATGTATAACTTGTTAAGGAGCTATAACACTGTTCTCTATAGTGATTGCACAATTTTACATTTCCACCAGCAATGTGTGACAATTCTGATTTCCCCACATCATTCATAATTTTTGTGATTTTCTGTCTTTTCAATTATATCCATTATCATCATTGTGACACAGTGAATTACTTTATATGACCCTTCTAGACATCCATAGTCTTGTAACTCCCAAAAAATGATGTGGTGCAAATAAGATATTTATGGCCCACCAAGGGTATTGGATAGTTTTTGCCAATACAAATAAGGCACATGGAACACTTGTGTGGCTGGAACTACGCAAATGGAGTATTTGTGGCCACCAACAGGATTGGACTGCCTGCTGATAATACAAATAAGGTGCATAGAAGGTAGAAGGTGTGGAGCTGGGACCAAGCAAATAAGGCGTATGGAACCTTTAGAGAGGAGTGTTCAGTTCTGCCATCTAGCTAGCTTTGAGGAAAGCCAATTACAGAGAGTGAGAAGGGGATCTCACTGCCATCAAGAAGAGCTAGGAATGGAGCATGTCTTTTGGACCCAGGGTCCCTGTGCTGAGAATCTCCTAGGCCCAGGAGACAGACAGAGCTGTAACACCAAAGATGGTGCAAGATAGCAAGAAGAAGCAGCAGCAAACATGGCAGGGTCTGTTGACAGAGAAATGGCAGCAGCAGACCCAGACCAGCATAAGACAGTGTGGTGTATTCCTGGCCCACAGAACTAGGTGGCTACAGTGAGCATGTCAACCCACAGAGTGATAGAGCTGAATGCCTTTGGTCAAAGTCTTACTAATGGAATGGGATGCCTCCAAGCACTCATTGGCAGGGCTAAAATGTTGTAATAATTGCCCAAGCAGGAAAGAGGCCAGGCCCAAGCAGGGACAGAGGTCAGGCCAAGAGTACAGGGCCCAGGTTGAGAGTTCAGGGATCAGGTGGCAGCAGCCAAGAAAAAGCTGTCTTGATCAAAGAACTGTATCCTGAGTTGTTCCTGTTACTTTCAAGTCGGTCCTGATTCTTTGCTATAAACCCCATAATGGTGAGTATAATCTGTGAGTTCTGTGAGGCTGGTGCAATGAATTATCAAACCCAGCAGAGAAGTAGAGACTACTTTGGGAGGAACGGCTGGTGTCAGAATTGCTTTGGAGAAAAAAAAAAATAGTTGGAGAGTGGAGGTATGTCAGACCTCTACCTCATAGGAATCAGATTTGGGCTAATGGCTGATCTTGAGAACCGTCCCCTCTTGTGAAGTTAAAGGACCTCTGATGTTACACCATTTTTTACAGTAGGTGTGAAATGCTATCTCATTGTGGTTTTAATTTGCATTTCCCTAATGACTAACAACACTGATCATATCTTGTGTGCATATTAGCCATTCATAAATGTCTGTTCTAATCTTTTGCTGGTGGGTTGGTAATCTTTTAATTTTTCTTTAAGAGTTCTTTATATATTCTGGATACAAGTTCTTATCATATATAGGATTTGCAAATATTTTCTCCCAGGTGGTGGCTTGTCTTTTTATTTTCTTAATGGTGCCTTTAAAAAAAAAAAACATACATATGTATGTGTGTGTGTGTGTGTGTGTATATTCATATGTTGTTGTTTTTGTTGTTGTT